ACCGGAAATGGGCGACATTTCAATGAGATGAGCTAAGAATATGTCGACAATACAGCGTCGCATTATTAGTTGATTGGTTGGTATCATGAATTGTGTTTCCCGAGACTAAGGGCTTTTTACTTGCTATTTAGGATCAGGTTATTCCAACTAAAATTTACTTAAAATATATTGTTAAAGATCCTCAAGTCCAAATGACAAATGCCGATATGTATGCCAAGCTCAAGAAACCATCCAACATCTTACCGGGGGCTGCCATTATAAAGAACGCCATGACTAATTAGGAAAAATTATCCACTAAACTAGCTGACAAACTGGACTTCTCCAAACCGATCATCTTCCTTACTATCAATACGTCCCTGACGGAATACGTGAAAATAACAACTAAAAGCTATATTGGGACCGCACTGTGCTCACAGTTAATACTAGTTAATAAATTTACAAGGCAAACACTTATTGATGTGGCGATACCTAACAGCAATAATTTTCGTATTAAATATAATGAAAAGATCGCCAATTATAGAGATCTAGAAATACAAATCAGGAGACAATGCAGAATGGAAAGTACCCAGACAGTATTTATTATTCTATCTACTACTGGTGTTATTCCCAAAAACCTCTTGACAAACATAAAAGAGCTGGGTCTAAATGAACATATTTATAAGACCATGCAGAAAGATGTACTCCTCGCGACGTCCAGATGTGTACGAAAATTTTTGGGAGATACTCCACCAAGTCACCTAGGGCTCGATAACACGGAAAGAGTCCCACCAGAACTCAATCCGTTTGATACCGCATGTATCTGGGATGAATTTTCCCCTTAGAGGGAGTGTGAGCCATATGGCTAAATCTGGGATAATAATAACCTGTGGCATGTGGAAGTTTTTGTCAGTCAGAGGATGCTTTTTGGGTAATCGTAGCAGCGATACCCAGAGCGTAGAGATATACTTGCAATGGAACAAAAACTGACAGCTTGCAGTGGGTAGGAAATGAGTAGGAAAAACCTTGAAAATGGTGAATTATGATTTATGTTTGGGGTCGCTGCCTGGGGATCGCCAGGGCACGTGTGAAGCCAGCTCTGGGAGTGGCAGCATGCAGAACATTGTTGGCAGGGTATTGAGGAGGCAGGCCCTTTTCGTACAATTAGCCACAGACCAACAAGAACAACAACCACAAGTGAGCCAAACATCCACTCGCTGAAGGTGCTGCCCTGGAACATGAGCCAACACTCAAGCGGGACAACCGAGGGACGCATAAAATGGACTGTGTCTACAAACGAAAACATTTTACACTTCTATTATAAACTGACATAACTCGGTCAATAAACGCTATCTATCGACAACAGCTTTATGCCGAATTTTGTACGAAGTACACAAACATTCAAATATCTGAACAGAGAATAGCAGATCAATACCGGGTAATTATTAGAAATAACCTTATCCCAATAAACAGTCGCGATATCATCAGAAGCGAAGTCGAATGGGAGATTCATAGTCATCAGGTAGTTGTCGAACAAGGCCCTAATGAAATCTCTAATGGTCAGATTCCTGAGCTTCTCATACAAGAAACCCAAGTTAATAATTCACAAGAGGACAATAACGAGTTGCAGATAGTCTGGTAAACGAGAAAAAAAACTTCACACAAATGAATTTTGATCGGTATTAAACTTAAAAGTTAAAATTTTTAGTGTTTAGCAAAATATTGGTCTAATTTTAAAAACGACTAAAGCACTAGCTATTTTATATTTTTTAGCACTTCGCGAATATTTTTAATGCAAACTGTTTCATACCTTGAGGTCGTGGAGTAAATTCGGGACCCGATGGTCTGCCCCTTCCAGGATAACCAGATTGATCTTGCTGTCCAGGTCTAGTTGCCCCACTGGGATATCCTCCGTCTGGTGCTCCCGCTTGGCCAGGTGGCCGTCTAGGTCCCCCTGGCCTGCCTTGTTCTCCTGGCCGCTGTGGTCCTTCTGGTAAGGGTCTTGAAGGTGTTGGATAGTTATAACCCTCTTGCGCCTAAATCATTAAATAATATAAAAGTACTAGTCAGAAGTAGACAATGGTTGTTGAGCCAAATGTAAAAGAAGCAAAAAATGTATAATTATTAATAAATTAAAAACCAAAAACCTGGCGTGAACAGAAAATAAGTATGAACAATGTAACGTGGCAATAACAACAAAAGAAGGAACAACATAAATAAAAAAATTTAAAATTTGAGTATTTAGGGATAACATTTATTAGTAAACCAGAAATATGTTGATAATAAAAAAAAAAGGATTTATGGCTGATAATTATTAATCGTTTTTTTTTTTCGATTCCCTCACATGAGGGGAGGTTTTAGGGTTCAGCCGGGGGTAGAAGTAGTAAATTTATTTGCATACATTTTGGGATCCCCAATTTGACATTCTCAGTAAAATTCAGCTTATTTGTATAATTTTTAAAGGTTCAGTGACATTTTCGTCTGTGATGACTGGAGTAAAAACCCTAAAAAATATGATAGCATGAAAACGAAATATGATCCTAGTGGAAAAAAGTACTGAAAACCTTTGATGGAAAAATTTCAGGTGCGTCGGACTACTGAGCGTGTCCGATTGCAAAACGTCGGAGTATCAAGGGTGTATTATTATAATTCAAAAGTTGATGATTACTTTTTATCATTTTAAACAGATTTTAACAGTTAAAACATATTAATGTTTTGTGTTAATCTAGTTAATTTTAAGTGCCATAAATGCATATATACTTACAGATAAGGTTCCTAATAGTGTGAAGAGAACTGGAATAAAAATAATTCACTATCAATAAATGGTTTTTATTAAGATTATATTATAATATATCTAATATAATAAGATTAATAAAACTGAAGAATAGAAAACAAAGACAACGAAATATATGACAGGAAACACTTTAAAATTGAAGTCTTATATAACTCCTGTATAATACCGGTGCTCACCTACGGAGCACAGACATGGACATTTACACAGGCCAATTGGGATAGGATAAGGAAGGCACAAAGAGCGATGGAGAGACAAATGTTGGGTGTATCACGTAAAGATAGAAAACGTAACCAGTGGATCAGAACCAGAACAAAGGCAGTAGACGCGATAGAACAAGCAGCAAAACTGAAATGGAAATGGGCTGGACACAATGAACGTCTCCAAGACGGACGATGGAACAATGCCATCGGAAAGTGGCGTCCATACAATGCAAAGAGATCAAGAGGCAGACCACAGATGTGGTGGAAAGATGACATCAGGAAACAAGGAGGTGCCACATGGCAGAGAAAAGCTCAAGATAGGGAAAGATGGAGAGAACTGGGGGAGACCTATATCCAACAATGGAAGGATAGAGAATAGGTTAAAAAAAAACCAATGACCACTTTTACTTTTGATTTAATATTTTTGTTGTTTTTTATTTATATATAGTTTATTTATTGTTGTTGCTGGTTATTTATTAATGTCATTTGCTGATCATTAACAATTTATTACAGAGTACGGAAGTAAATACGGAAAATCCTGGTGCTGGCCAAGACCGACAAAATACACCGACTAACAAAAAGGCTGAATCTAACGAGAGAACTATTTAAAAAAAAAGAAAATATGATGAATCCTACTTGTCCTCCGGATTTATTCCTGTGGGAATTGCTTACAATCCAGTTGGACAATGCGTTATTTGCAGTAAAATTATGTGCAATAGATCTCTTGTACCTGCAAAGCTTAAACGGCATCTTGACACCAACCATCCACAACTGAAAGATAAAAGTGTAAACTTTTTTGAAAGATACAAAAAAGTACATAAAATCGGTATGGCTGCTTTACAGAGATATGTTAAAACAGATAATATATACGCAACAAAAGCATCATTCCTGGTAAGTTACAGAATTGCTCGTGCTGAATGTAGAAGATGAAGTCTGTAGGTTGAAAGACAGTGAGATGTTTGCTTTACAATTTGACGAAAGTACAGATGTCGCCGGGTTATCAATACTGCTTGTTTTTCGTGAGATACCCCTTCGAAGGATCAATTGAAGAAAATTTGTTTCTCTGTACACCCTTGACAACAGGAGAAGAAATTTTTAAAGTCATTGATAATTATATGACTAAACACTATATTGACTGGAACAAATGTATTGATGTGTGCAGGGACGGAGCTGCAGCTATGTCGGCAAAAGATGGCTTTCAAAAGGAAAAGTTTTATTAAGATTATTTTAATTGCGCGACGAGCTTACGATATTCTTTGCTGAACAATCCATTTCTGTACGCTTGTTGAACTATTGGATGATGAGCAATGGTTGATGATATTGGCTTACTTAGCTGATATATTCGACAAACAACGTATTCTGCCAGTCCCTACAAGCCAGAACAGTAACCACATTTAAAGTAAAAGACAAAATATCGTCCCTTAAAAACAAAATTTGCTTCGGTATAGAATATGTGGAACAAATAAATTACCCATGTTTTACTCTTTTAAATAACTTCCTGGATGAGAAGATCCTTCAAGAGAAGAGAAGAATTCAAATTCAGATTATTGCCCGCAGAAGTTACAGGACATCCACTGGCTTCAGAATCCATTCAGAAAACATACCAAGCCATCGATGCTTACTATGCCAGAGTATGAGGATTTGATCGACATTAAGTATTCATCCCTTCTAAAACAAAAATTCGAATCAGAAGATTCTAATCTGAATGACTTTTGAATTGCACTTAAAGATGCATACCCCGCAATGGTTGGAAAAGCTATGGTTCTATTTCCTTTTGTGAGGACTTACCGATGCGAGACTGGTTTTTCAGCTTACGCTTATACCAAAAACAAGTTCAGAAATGGGCTGGATGCAGCTCCGGATCTTCGTATTCAATTGTCAGACAATAAGCCTAATTTTAATACTATTATAAGAAAATGTGTGAAAAATCTTCACATTGAAATAGTTATTGTTACTTCTTCTTCTTAGAGTGCCATATCCCTACGGAACGTCGGCGACTACCATGCTAATAAAATTATTATACTGATCTCGGTCTTGCGCTACGTGTAGCAATTGGTCCGCTGTCAAACCTGTCCACTGCCGCAAATTCTTCAACCAAGAGAGTTTCTTCCGTCCTATCCATTTCTTTCCTTCGATTTTACCGTTGAGAATTAGCCGAAGGAACTCATATCTTGGTCCTCTGATTATATGTACAAGATATTTTAGTTTACGCCTCTTAATAATATTTAATAGAGTTCGTTGATGTCCCATTATTCGAAGAACTTCTTCGTTTCTGGTTTTACTAGTCCATGGAATTTTTAGTATCCTTCGATACAACCACATCTCAAACGCCTCGATTTTATTCATGATATCGGCGTTTAAAGTCCAAGTTTCACATCCATACAAAAGTACAGACCACACGTAACATCTTGTAAACTTTTCACGGATTTCCAAATTTAATGAGTTATTGGATAATAGAGGCTTGAATTTTTGAAATGAGTTTCTTGCCTGTTCAATTCTACATCGAATTTCGATGGACGGTTAGGTTAGGTTAGGTTAGGTTATGGATCTATATTTTAGGTAATCCAACATCCAAGGTATTTGAATCTCTGAACTCTTTATATAGTTACTTACTTACTTTTATTTATTTTTGTATAATAAATATTTTGTATTCCTTATAATATTATTTTTCATTCATAATTTCTTCCTTCTTTTACATTCTTACATGAAAAAATTCCAAAATCGCCTCGGTTATTGTTAAGAAGTGAATGTTGGTCATTTTGAACATTTAATTTAATTGTAAAGTACTTTGAAAAATACATTCTAAATATTATGTGTAATTATTATCGTCATTCAACCTAAAGTTTTGTGATCGGGACATTATCAAAATTTTACATCTTAAAAATCACTTTTCTCAGTAATAATTGCTCCAAACTTAAAAAACTTTATATTTCTGAACAGAAGACTAAAATCCTTTCTAACACGGTGTCACACAACCCCTTTTGTTATTTAAAATTTCTGAGGGTGTGCTTATAATTCAAAGGGGGTGTTGGAGGGGGATAATATTTTTATACTGTAAATTGTCACTTTAAGAATAAAAATCGACCTGTTTCAGGTTTTTTTTCACATACTACATAATAACGCTAAAATGAATTCATTCCATACATATGGACCGTATGGTATAAGTTTTACTAATTATATTAAATCCTCGTTTATTTAATATTATTCAAAATGTTCATAGATTAGATGGTGAGAGAAAAAAAAGAGAATAAGTTCTATGGTCAAATAGATATATTAAGATAGTAAGTATTTTTTCAAACGAGCTTTTAAAAAAAAATAATTGATATCAAGCAATTTCCTAATTGCATTTTAGGTAATTTGTAACGATTTAAACCTATCAACATACGCATTTATTTGTTAATGGTATAATAATGATAATTATGCGTGCCAGTTCACAAGGAGAAATTAAAAGAATAGAAACGGTGTCCTCCAAAGAGTTTAATTCTTGTATTTTCAGAGGTAGACTTACCATTTGAGTTGTTCAAATTTATAGTAGGTACGTAACATTATAGTTTGTCCATTTAACATTTAACAGGTCGTATACTGTAAGGTTCAAAGAAAAGTTTTGGTATTAATCTTAAACCTGTATTGCCCCTTGTAACTCTAAAGTTACCAGATAAAATTTTAACCATTCTGTCTCCGGTTTCCGAACATAATTACTCCAGTTACTGAGGCTTAAAATATGGTAACACCTCCGAATTTTTTATAACTACATCGATTTCTTTGAAAATTTCAAATTAAGCTTATCTTACCCTCCACTTCAAAAGTTATATACGCTCTAGGTGCGCTTTTTGTTTTTAAGGGGTGAAAACTACCCCTTATTGGATAACTGGGAAAAACACGGATTTAATTATTTTATGCACTTAAATCTTGTTTATTCGCAGAAGGTAAATATTGTAATGTGTTATCTAATAGGAAAATTATTTATTAACAATTTTCAACCCTTAAGACCCCTTAAAAGCTAATACTTTTTATAAAAATAATATGAAAAAAAAGTCGTAGC